TTCTCGCTCTTCTCTACCACTTCGTAGGAGACATTGTTGCAGCCACAGTCTCCTCATCGGCCAGAGACACCCTCTCGCTCCACTTTGCACTGCCCTACCAATCTCCAGACAACGTTTCAGGCGTGTTCGCCATCATTTCGAAAACCGCCTTGAGAAGGTCCAGGGCAGGAAGATTTGACTTGACCTTTACCAAGCTGGCTGGCGACGCGGAAACATCTGCGAGGAAGTTGGACGAGCGCTTCGTCGTGCTCAGCGAGACTAGCGATCTTAGCGACTCTCTGCTCGGCGAGCAAGGTGCTAAAGGAGATGCGCATCGGGATAAAGTCGGTCTGCAGATTGCCATCAATGGGCCTGCAAAGGATCTTCTGGAAAGCCTCATTCTTACCGATTTGCCTCACGAGCGACCCTGGAACGGGTAAGTTGCACGGCATACGCAGCTGATGCGTGTGCGTTGATTGTCAGCTGACAAGGACCTCCCAAATCGCAGTCCTGTTCCTGTAGAGAAACGCACGCGAAGCCTCGTTCTCACGCTCCAAGCCCCACATAACATCACCGAAGCTCGCGCTAGTCTAGCGCTCGTAGAAGCAGCTTGTAATCTGCTGGATGCGATGGAGCTAGGTGCGGCAAGGTTGAGCGCTCTCACCCTGACCAAGCTGCGAAAAACACGGGCGGAGCTGGACAAGGAATTGCTGGATGAATCTCTCAAAGAGCAGAGAGAAGCTGTGAGTACACTCGAGGTTTATGCTTTACGAATGCAGGGCTGACGGACATATTTGCGATGGCCTGCACCGTCCTCAGGAGAAGGAAGCAAGAGAGGAAGCCAAGCGCAAAGCGGATGCTGAAAAGTTCAGCAAATTATCGGAAAAGGAACAGGCGAAAAAGAAGGAGCTGGAAAAGAAGCGGGCGCAGCGCAAGGCAGGAAAGTCCATGAGGGGCCGATCGGGATGAGCGGAATTCCTGGGCTTCAATAGATGGGGCACAATTCGACCAAGTCGTGCTGAACGTGCTTCACAAGCCCGCTCAAACTCAGACTGCTCTCGCAAATGCAATGCATTGCACTGCTCGCGTCTGCGACTGATCTGCTGGGATGTAGCACTCTAGACGCAACCGACAGTCGGCTGCTGGCTCAGCCGTGCATGTCCTCGCTCCCTTCTGCGCTATAGTTGCCGCTCTGCTCAGCATGAGTAAGGGTCGTCTCGACATCGTCGTTGACTATCCTACTGACTTCCTCGTACCATTTGCTCAGCTGCGTGGGACCTTCAAAGAGTTCCCTAAGTCCTTTCAGCTGAGATTCTTGTTCAGCCAGAATGAGCTGTACCTGCTGACCTGGAACTCCACGCAATCGGCCGCTCAGCAGGTCAGCTGTTGGCTGCCCTGCCATAATCTCCGGAGGTTCCAGTACCAGTTGCTTTGCGCTGTCTATGAACGCACGAAACGGGTAATGCGATCAGCGATGAGGTAAGACAACGTGGGGTGCACAGATACCCACCAGAATGATCGGCAGCCCACTTGAGTGCTGCGTATAATGCCGTGTGCCTGAGCTGGTCACTCAATTCAGCATCAGTCTTGCCTGACGTATCCGTGATGGACGGCCAGCTGTAGCAGACAAGGTTAGACTCAGTCGGTCGACTCTGCTTCTCCGTCTTTGACGTCGTACTCACTCGTCCCGCAAGAGGATCCTGAGCCACACGCACGCGAGACTGGCATCGAGACGAGCCTCCGAAGTGCCCTGGAGAATAGGGGCAAGCTGCATCAGTAAAAAGCTCAGAATTGAATTGAACACGTGAGACATGATTCTCACCTTTTCTCGCAAGTAAACTTCAAGTGCGGTGGTATAGTCATGGATGCGGTCATCGGCAGCAAGTGGCAAGGTGAGCAAGTCGATCAAGTCCTCTGCGGATACCACATCTCCACGTAGAATCCTTCGAACGGCCGAGGCATACCACTAGATTGATCAAACGCAATCGGTGAGCGGACCGATGGACTCGACATGGGCACGCCACAATACTTACAGCATGCAAAGCTGGTAAAGACTCCAAATTGTACGCTACAGCCTCGCTCACCGCTGCACAGCCATTCTCCACATCGCGACTGCATCCAGGAATCACGCTTTCATAAAAGTCGCGGAGAAGCTGATGAGTGTTGACCATATCGAGCCGATCGTCGATAAGCTCGATTTGGTCCTGCTCATCTTCGACCATGATTTGAGCCTCTGTGAGATCTGCACAATGCGCTAGCTTGCCCAGGCTGAGCATGAGCTTCTTCTGCGCTGCCTTGCCGTCCAAGTCCGCCATATGGACAAGAGTCCGAGATGCGGTCGAATGGCGCTCCAGGAGAATGTCGTGTAACCACGCTAACCTGGGATTGTCGGTTCGTTCGAAAAAGTCCAACAGCAATGGGCTGTACTTGTCGGGGACATCGAGCAACGTCCGCAGCCTGCCTTGCTCAATGTACCATTGGAACAATTGAAAGGCGAAAGCTTGGCCGTATCGATCCAAATACTTTTCCGCTCGTTGTCGTGCTACTTCCTGACTCGCCTCTAGTCGGTGACTGAGCAAAGTCAACGTCCTGAAGTCTGCATGCTGTTCCGCAAGTGTGAATGCTCGAGCAGAGTGGCCCACGGCCAGCAGCGGCAGAATCATTTGTGGTCTGGCCGTTCTGTAACGCGCTTCCAACAGGGCGTAGTCGCGCTGATGGGCAGGCTGGTCTCCCGTCTGTGCAGAAGCATTCAGATACGCAAGTCTCTCTTCAAAAGTCGCAAGAGCATTCGAAGCCAGTTCGCATAGCTGAAGCTTGAGCTCCTTTTGCAGACGCGCCGGCGACAGGGGCGCACTACCCTCGGTATTGAAGCCTTCCTGCACATTGGCGTCGACCGCTGTACCGAGCTCTCTGGTCCGCTCGTTCACAAGTCGTAAAGTCGTGTGGAAGAGTCCTTCCAGCACGTCTAGGTCACTCGCAGTGATGGACCAAGCCTCGAATGCCGTCTGTGTCGCTTGAAAGGCGTACACCTTGCCAGAGTCTCTGCGGAACACTCTAGCTGCATTGAAGATGATAGTCACGACCCGAGCACTTTCCAGTGTCAAGACGGACCTCTGGTCCAGCGGGCTCGACGAGAGGGCGCTAGTCTGATGTAGCAGCTCATCCAGAAGCCGAGGTATTTGCGGCAAGTGATGTCGGAAGAATGCTCTGACCATGTCGTCCCGCGTAGCTTGGCCGCTTTCCGTCATGATCTTCGTGATGGCGACCGAAAGCGGACTGAGGGTGCCGAATGTCCCGCGAGCGCTAGAAAGTTGCGCGCCGTGGTATTGCCAGACTTCGAGAGCTGCGGCGAGAAGCTCAGCGTCGGAAGAGAGGCGGCGACGGCTGCTATGGGAAAGCTTTTGGAGGCAATTGTTGCTCGCAATGAACGTAATCAAATCGTGCAGACGTGCAGCGCGGGATTGCAGATGCAGCCGCAATTCCACTACGTCGGGCAGTGCTTCCGTCTCTGTGGTCACGATGCTGGTGCTGAGCTGCTCGGCGGCAAGGGAAAGATCGCCTTCAAAGTCGAGTGGCAGATCGTACGATATCGGACTTGCAATATTGTTGCCGTAGAAGACAGCTTGCTCGAGCTTGACCATTAGGCGTTCCGTTCGCACAGCAGTGTGTTCACTAGGAGTGCCAAGTCTCTTCGCCAATGCAGCTGCTGCGTCGACCCAAATGTCGACCAAGAGCGTGCCACTGGACGATGTGAAGAAGGGCACGCCAACAACGTCCGTCTCCCGTTCCACGTCGATGCTCTCGGCTCCATAGCCCATGAAGCGATTCTGGAGAGGGTACTTGAGGCTGACGACCTCCTCAAAGTCATCTTCGAGCAGTCTGAGCACGACTACGTCCTCAAATTGAATGAATAAGACCGGTCCTCCGTACGGCGCGATGATACGTGGCACATCCGATGGTCCCGCAGACCTTGCGTGAGTGTAGTGCAGCTGCACGGCGCGAGAAATGACAAATGAGCTCGCCCTTTTTTCATAAGTCGCAACAACTACGCCAAAGGAAACGATGCCAGCAGAGGTGGGGCTGTGTTCGAAGAGGATGAGGAGCGAACCGTTCGTAGTAATCGCTCCGCTCAAGAGCACCAGACCTGCTGTATCAGCTCCAGATCCATCATCCTTTTCTGGCAGTCCAAACAGGACCGACGCGATAGGCTGGCGGAGATCCTGCTCGGCGATCATCGTCTCGCCACCTGAACGTTCGCCCAGACCCCACTTCTGTACCCCTCGCTTACTGATTGCATACAGCGTCCACGCGTCGGCGGCGTCGGGAGAGGGAGCTGTAGTCACGCTGAAGCTTTCGTCTCCCCCAAGGGTAAAGGTAGCAGCAGCGCCAAAGAAGCGCCCAAAAAAGCCGCGCGGTTGGGAGAAGGAGGAGACCTCTGCTTGCAATCTACCGCTTCGGTGAGGAACGTCCAGACGAAGCAGCCGGGACTGGCTCGTGGCCACGACGAAGGCCGTTGTCTGGCAGCGCTGTAGCGAGGTGACACTCTCGCCTGTGCCGAGCGCCACGTCGATTTCGTGCGCGTCTTCGCTCAAAGCGCGCGAAGATGCGATGCTGTTCCACAAGCGCACCTTTCCTTCTCGCGAGACGAGCAGCAGTCCGGGCTCTTGACCCGACGATCGGTCCACAAACGCGCAAAAGGGTGGGGAAGTGTTCGGTGCTGCCTGAGTGGAGGGGGGTGCAGGAAAGACGTAGCAGGCTGGGGCGACCCGCGTGCTGCCAGAGAAGCACCAGACGTAGCAGCGATCCTTGAATGCTACGTAGGCATAGCCGATCCGTGCGTCCATGGCTGATGTGATTGCATCACGAGAGTGTTCTGCGCAGCGTCATCAGAAATACGTCAGGCAGCGCTCTCTCATCTCCCAACCGATCAGCCTGCCAACTTTCGCTTCATCACCTAGCCCATCACTCACCAGCAGATTCTAGCGCTTGCATCACCTCGATGGGTAGCTTGTGCGAAGCCGAGACGACATACACGTCGTCTCGCGCGAGTATTGTGCCTTCGTCCAACAGTGTTGCGCGTCTGCCTCCCACAACAGACCCTTCCGCATCATCAACGGTCATCGCGTCTCCTGACATCCCCACGAAGCCCTTCGCATTTCCAGAGGACTCCGGATCAACAATATAAGGCTGGAGTTGAGATCTCCTGTCCCTGTAAGTCGCTGAGCGAGAAGTAGGGGAAGAGCGATTCACATCCTTTCGAGGTCGACTGCCTGCCAGACTTGCAGCTGGCGATTCTCTGAAGCTCATTGGTGTCGCACCTCGCGATCCTGGGATGGAGCTCTGACTTCTCCTCGACCCTCCACCCAATGTCTGTCGGCTAGGTGTGGTGAACATTCTTGAGGCGCCTCGTGGTGGTGAATCGAAGGAAGAGGTGCAGGCTTGACGGAGTGCTCGACGCTCGTGGCCAAGACTGAGAGGATCCTAACCTGACACAGGTGGGACAGTGTGATCCGTATCAGTACCGAATCCGGAGTCGTATGTGTAGCCGTGTCGAAACATAATAACTTATTGAGACGTTGGACGGTGATAGCTTGACGTCCTACCTACCTTTGCGTGGACACTTTTGACTTTCGAGCCCATCACGCGCGCGTGCTGTGCCTGGTTCTTCGTGTTGAGGCCGCAACACGTGACGTGACGCAGTGTCAGCAGTCGTATAACAAGGCGGGATTCGTGATTCGAAATACACAACAACACACTACCAAATTCAGTCAAAAGTCAAACAGTCAGGGCGTTCCCGATTTGAAGAGAGTCACAATGTATGTTTGTGATACGCGGACTCCTCGCCGCGGCGACTCTATGCAATTGCTCGAGCAGTCGCAGTCTGACTTGCTCTCTGCGCAAGGTTCGGCTGCCCCCGACTGCATTTCAGCAATTGCTCGCTGAGCTAGCCCAATTGCCGAGGGCGACTTGCTGCAGAGTCTCTCTTGTGGTGTGGCTCTACAACATGGCGTCGATATGATCTTGTGGTACATTGATTGGAATGCGAGAAGTACGATCGTGGCTTGGCTCGGAGAGGGGGGTGTGAGCGTGTGCAACACAAAATTCATGTAGAGTCGATATTCTTGGATTGTTGCTACAGACATTGGTGGGGCGATAGAAGAAGTCGTCAACGCAGGAGGTTTCTAAATGGCGCCTAATCGCTGCGCAAGAGGGTCAGGAGCTTGTTGTGTTCTCAGTCTGTACAAGGATCCCTTCTCCGGCAGACTGAGTCGAGGCTCGAAAGAGAAGCCGAAGACGATCATCCTCAGCGATCGGGCCTACGAGTCGTGTGCTCGTCTGTCTAGAAAGCAGATTACGAGCTACTTTGGGTCGGGGTCTGGCAACGAAAGGGATTTCAGCATTCGTCGGACCAGACACCACTCATTGTCACTCACAAGCCCCCATGCTCGGGTCCGGAGTGCAGCCGCAACGGGGCGACCTCCGCCACGCGGTGCTGTACTTCAGCCGTGCTGTGGGCAGCATGACTTGTTGAGCATCGTGATGGGCGATTGCTTCGGATGATCAGGCGACGTTGGCCAGCAGACACTCTCGCAGCTCGATTCGCTCCCGCGAGCGGAGCATGCTTGGAAAGGCCCTCACCCGCCGTAGGCTGCAAACGACTTCTTGCGGTGCCGCTCAAATCAAGACTAGCCATTCTGCCGCTCACTCTCATCATCGCTGCTGTTGGCTCAGCGGTGACGATGCTTGTTGCTCCGCTCGTACCTTTCTGAGGGAAATCTGGCTGAGAGCTGACACTTTGGGACCCATCCCGGCGTCTCTTCTGAAGGTATTGTTCAAGGATTTGTTTCGCGCCTTTGGAACGGACAACTGTTGGACTATTGCTAGGGGTTGTGTGGGCTAGAGTAGACTCGCTATCGGCGCGCGGTATTTCTGCCCGAGAGTCGAAAAGATCCTGGTCGGACAGGGAACTACTTTCTGAGAGCTCAGATCCCGAGAAGTGCCCACCCAGGGAGGCACTGTCATCCTCGTCACCACTTCCACCGCCGTTACCGCTCTTCTTGCAGCCGACGAGCTGCATATCTCCGAGGTCATTCTTGACCACGAATAGGAGGGAAGCGGCGAGGGCGCGGCAATAGCAAGTGACCATGTTCGAACCTGCCTTGAAAACCTGCGCCGCGCCGTCTCGGCTTGCTTCAGCGCAACGTCTAACGTCCATCTGATCTGCTATGTGCATGTAGGGCTGATAGATAGGCTCGTAGCCCTGCTCGCGAAGGCTCTTCGGCCATTCATCCATCGTTGGCATGGCGGGCAGAGCTGCTTCGCCGTAGATCAATTCTGGCAGTGGCAGGCTCGCTGCATACTCTGAGCTGTCCGAGTCTGAACCTCCGTCTACTGCTAATGGCGTAAGACCCTGTCGCTTGCTACCGCGAGCTGGCATGCGGGAGGCCGACAGGCCGTTTGACTTCTTACGATCTTGCACAATTACCGTGTTCAGCTGCGCGAAACGTGAGTCGCTGTCTTCGCTTACTTCCGGGCTGTCAGAGTGTTGCGTTCTGGAGCCTTGACCGCCCGTGAGGCTTCCGTGATCTTGAGCGTCATGGCCGGCTGCATTGATGGATTGCTGGGCTCCAGAATACGATCGGCCGTCGGGCTTTTCGTGGACGTTGGAATTTTGATGATGCAGGGTGGCGCGCGACTCGCTACTGTCGCTGCTGCTCGGTGCTTGAGTCGCCTTGAGGGCAACCTTCGCCTGGGCACGTAGAGGAGGTCCCACCGATGCGTAAGGCTGAGCCGCTATTCCTCCAATTGACCTCTGCAACACCTGCGGGCTACTTACGGAAGACGAGATGCTCAGTATACTGGTTGGTTCGAGGCCTGCAAAAGCTGAGGCCTCGCGCTTGTGACGGGCAAGTATATCGGTGCGCAATGCTTGAGTTCTCGTCGAACTCGAGGGCGCTTGTTCAAGACGAGCAAGAGATTCTGAAATGCCTCTCTTACGCAGGCGTGGAGAGTTTGCGTGCATCAGGACTTCGCATATGTCAGCGTCCGACGCGACAAACGAGTCTGCGGCGGAAAGCGCAGGTGAGGCTGGGGCGCTCCAAGCTCCTCGAAGACCGCTCTTGGGGCTGTAGAATCGCACTGCAGGAGACGAAACTTGGGCTGGATTCTTGTCGACATCGGATGAACTATGCACCAACTGCGGATGCGCTCTTGGTGGTACGCAGCTTTCCGACGCAATTGTCGAGGAGAGCTCTTCGTCCTCTTTGATTGCTGCTTGCGGACGCTCGTCATCACGTAGAGGGGATGACGTGACGATTGGGTCGACGACCGGATCCGGGCGGTCCTTCGATGCTTTCTTGCGCTCCTTCTTTCGTGCTTTATACTTGGCTTTTTTCGCCTTCTTCAGCCTTCGCTGCGCGTCCGAAGGAGTCTTGGATCTGACCTGCTCGTTCGAAGTGTCTGATGCGTTGCTGTCAAGTGCGTCATCTATCGTGAGGCACCTTTGTCAGCCTATCGGACTTTCGAGCGGCTCAGCTCCCGCACACACCGTGTTCCTCGCGCCACACTCACCGAACTGCTTTGGTGTGGACTGCGCAGGTGGTTCGGACGAAGGGAACACTTGCTGTAGCCCCAGGCCTCCAAGCATAGCTTGTACCACTCTAAGCTGATTCGCGTCAAGTGGAATTTGGCTGGGCCTTACCTCGCGGCTGCCCGAGGAGTCGACATGCAATCCGAGTCCTCGCGGGGCGCTGCCAGAAGCAGTCTGATCCAAGGCTGTTTGAACGTCGTGCATATGATACAAGGTCCGGCTGATATCTGTCAGAGTATGCTGCTCCAGCGAAGTGAGGGTACGACGCTTAGCTGCACGCTTCAAGAGCTCTCGCTGATGCACCAAGGAATGCAAGTGCGTCTGCTGCTGTATGAGCTCGATCATCGATTGTCGATCATCTACGAATGAGCGGTACGCTTCGCCGTGGGTATCTGTACCTGACCCCTGTTCTCGAGCCAGAGATGGTCTCGAAGAGGGATGTGCAGGTGATGCAGCACCCGAAGCGGTCGAAACGGCATCCCGCTGCGTGGAGGTTGCGAATGCACTCGCCGCTTTCCGTCGAAAGAGTAGAGTAAGCAGCTATACTAAGCACCAAGCCTCATCGCTGCACTCACACTCTTGCTTGTCAGCTTCCGCATCATGAGCGGGGCTTGGCGACATTCCGCCTTCGAGAGGCATGCTGTATACACTAGCTTTCAGGCTTCCAATTTCTGCTCAGAGGGGGAGCCAAAGCGAAGCGTCCTGCTCAGCGCGCATAGCTGCGGATGGATGGATCAGCCGACTACCAGCGAGCTGATAGCGAGTTCTAGCTGAGTTGCTGTCCTTCGGCGAGCACGAGATTGTTGGCTCTCGGGTTCGAGCCTCTAGAGACTGAGCAGACCGGTGTGACCAGCTGGCGTGGTGTGGTACTCTGCATAGGCCTTCATTCGTCGTGAGGACTACAACGGGCAACGCACGTGGCGAGTGAGTGTCCTCTGGCAGCGCGAAGGCTTGATGGTGAGTGTGCAGGTGATGGAGAAGCTGCTTGATGACTGATGAAGTGTCCACAAGATTGTGGAAGCGTGTGCGAGTAGATGACAGTCGTCAGTGCGAGTCGCCAGCCGCGAGCCGTGAGCCGTGAGCGGTGAGCGGTGATGCTGTCGACGCTCTCTACCAGCGCCTGACGGCTATAAGATTAATTCTGAGCAGCCAAGTCCGCGATTGAGGCTTCGCCTACAGCATACGCATCAGATGCCATCCACGCAACGACCTTTGCACTTAATCAAGAATTGTGAATCGTGAATGTGGACTCAGACTCGCGAGCTCGTGACTCACCATGCATGCACTCTCTTTAAGTTTGATCGCAGACTCGCGTTGATCCCATATTTGATTCGTGACTTCAAAGGTGAGCTAGCATGACTCAAGACTTTGACTCTGACTGTGCTATGCCGCAGCTGGCCTACGACAATCGCTCAGAGTCTTGAATGTGGCAAACATCACGATTGCTACAGCTTGTGCGCAGCAGCACCCATGGCACCCAGGCAGTACATAGCCTGTTGCCTATATATATACATAGCATATATATATATGTGTGTCTGGTCAGGCAGACTCGGCGCGGCGATCACTCGCTCACAGCCAGGCAATGAGTTGGCGGCCGGGATGATCACTGCTGCTGAGTTGCCTTCTTCCGCACCTTGCTATTCTTCCTAGGCAGCAGCAAGCATCTCATATCAAATATGTATATGGCGAATGAAATGATGTGACAAAGCGCCGCGGCGGACATCCTATGCTGTACGCGACGCGCTGCTGCTGCTGTTGTTGCTGCTGCTGATGTTGCGCGGTGATTTTCGTGGGAATCGCCGCGCGGCAGGTTGTTGGCAGGTCAAGAGTAGAGGTGCCACACATGAAGTCACGTGGTCACGAAAAGTTACACCCAAACGCAAACATGCACAGCCTTGCTGGAACGAGCACGAGTAAAGAGTCGACAAGCCCGCTCGTCCAACTGCGAGGCGAGGTCACAGCTAGACGACCACTTCGCATTCAATAACCAGTCGTACGCTTCATCCATCAGACACAGTCTCCCTTCATCACCGCGAGCCTGGTGAAGCGCTCAGTACCCACCCAGCACGAGTCCGCAAGCATAGACTCGGTCCCTGTACCGTGCAGAAAACGAACGACGTCGAGCGTCTGGCTCTGCGACACACAATCCATCCCGGCACGCATCTTTCGAGATGGCCGCATCCATCCCACTGGGCGAGTCGACGCCCACGCGGCTACTGGCCCATACGCTTCATCCGAGCACTTTCGAGGTTCCCCTCCCCTCGACAGGGCCAAGTCGATCGAACGCTGAAGCTCAATTGTCGGACTGGAGACGTTCCAACCGCACAGCGGGCTCCGCGTCGCTCTCCGCCTCGGCTGCCAAGCACATCGAGAGGTTGGCTGTGTTCAGGCACGCCAGAGGCGATCACTTGCCCAGCAGGGGAATACAAGCCGAGAAGTTCAGAATGCGCAGGGCGCTGGACGGACTGCCGCCCGTCGGGACTACCGCCGATGCTGATGATTTGAGCGACGAGGAAGCCGAGCTGCAACACTTGGTGGGTCGCGCAGTGCTGCAGTTCCCCGCAACTTGCTCTCCCTCGCATGCAGTGGTCATCTCACGCATTTGTTCTCTCCTCACCTGAATCTCGCAGCACGATCGTGTAGCCAATTTTGGAGACGACTATATAGTGCAGATCGGTCGGATGCGCACGAGGCAGGAGGAGGATCTCTCGGTGAGTGCGCGAGCCCCGCAGAGCCAAGTTGACCTTGCAAGTTTTGCGCATCGTTCCAATTTGACTCCAACTTTGCAACATCGCAGGCCACCGACAGAGGACGCACGCCATCGAGCGATGGCTCGGATGCTGAAGGAGGGCCGAGCGGAGGTCCGCCTGTTGGTCACACAGGTCATGCAGCTGCAGCTGCCGCGGCCGCAGCTCGACAAGCTCAGATCACACAAGCGAACACGCAAGCAAGGACGGCAGCCGATGCCGGAAGATTAGCTGCCATGCGAGCCCGAGCCCGAGCTGGTGCTGCTGCTGCTGCTGCTGCTGC